TAGCAAAACTAGTACCTAGTCAATCGATACTTGGCCTTGATCACCACCTACACCCTCCTAGGCATGTTATCTATGAGGTTAGTGCAAACCTTTACAGGGATCTTCTCACACTCTTCCTGGACCCACGCTTTTGCATAAGGGGGTGAGCACTCGGAAAATCGCGAAGTATTTGAACGTATGCAAGAGTACTGTGCACGATTTCATGTTGAATGTTATCTCTAAGACTAGCCATGCTGAGGTGTTGCCAAAGATGCCATTAGTCGATTGGTCTCGTCTTTTCATGGATCGTCTTCATCGCACCGTTGTAGGTAAAAATTACGAGCAGAGTGGTGAAAAATTGCGTATCTGCCACGAAACTTAGGGTAACATAGCACGGTTGACATTGCATCCTTGCACTATTAGAATCACGCTAGGATACGTAGGTCTCTGAGCGGTGCAGCAGTTGAAGTAGTCGTGACTGGTGGGGAAAAATATCCGGGTTCAGGTCTTGTGAGGAAGAGGGTCACTCCAGTGCTATAAACTCATGCTCTCTAAGCCATTCCAAGCCTAGGTGGGACACATGGCTTAGAATGGCTTAGAGAACACGAGTATGTTACGCTGGAGTGACCCTTTTCCTCACCAGATCTCAACCCGGATATTTTTCCCCACCAGTCACGACTACTTGGACTGCTGCACCGCTCAGAGACATACGGATCCTAGCATGATTCTAATAGTGCAAGGATGCACTGTCAACCGTGCTATGTTACCCTAAGTTTCGTGGCAGATACGCAATCTTTCGCCACTCTGCTCGTAATTTTTACCTACAACGGTGCGATGAAGACGATCCATGATAAGACAAGACCAATCGACTAATGGCATCTTTGGCAACACCTCAGCATGGCTAGTCTTAGAGATAACATTCAATATGAAATCGTGCACAGTACTCTTGCATACGTTCAAATACTCCCCTCTGACCTTCCTTTTGTCAATTTTGTCCTTGACGAAGAAGTATCGGTGGGCGATGTGTATGTTGTCTGTTGACGAAGCTGGGCTTGTATGCAATCTTGATTGCGCTCTGATTGTTACACAATAACTTGAAGTTTCGGGTCGTTGCAATTTTCGTCACTTCAAGCAACTTTTATAGGTCACGCCTTTGTGAATAGTAGAGCGATATGAATTCTGCTTCGGCTGACAAAAGTGTGATAACCTCCTGTTTCGTTGAATTCCACGAAATGACACCACCCGGTTCAAGCTTGAAGATTAAACTTGTACGCGAACGCTTGTTGTTCGGGTCAGCAGTGTGATCTGCGTCAACATATCAAGTCAATCCAAAGTTTGTTGTAGTGGTTGTCGTGTAGCTGAGACTGATAGTAGGTGTCGAAATGAAACATTGAAGGGCTCGGTGAAGATCGGCCATATCCTCCCGTTTAGATCGACGCAAGTACTATGGGAGCTAACTAGTGAGGTAAGCAATATATGCTTGGAAGGTAAAGGCTGCAAATAATAGGCACCCGAGCTGGTGATGGTAAAGTCGATGCTCGGAGGTGGTAAGTGGGGTAGTATATGGTGTGTGGCTGGGCAGAATGTGATGAAAATCGGTAGTGACGCCGATGCGAGCGATGGAAAAGGTTTTGCAAGTGTTTCGAGATACTTGCTTGCAGAGAGGTAGATGGCGTCGGGGCCCAGTCGACGTTTAACCCAAGAAATTGAGTAACATTGGGAAAAATAGTAGCGTCGAGAATCTCTTGGATTTGTTCTCCATGTGAGCGAGGAGACGGTTGCACGAGCCGGTGCACAATAAGTCGTCCACATAGGTGACTAGAGGAATGTAGTTTCCCCGATATTCGAGTTTGTACATCCCAAGATCATGGGGCAGCTGCTCGAAGTCAAGTGAGATAAGAACTTGGTGGTATGCTGCTTCCACAGCGAGGAGCATGTTTGATGTCGTAGAGAGCTTTGAGCAGTTTGCGGATGTGAATTTCGTCGCCATAAGTGTGTGTGGGGTACTTCAACGTAGATGTATGCATTGACATCTGCATATAGAAAAATATTTTGCTAACATCCAATTGACGAAGGGGGCGGTGGCGACTGGTGACTTAGGTGCGAAGAATTCTAACAGGGGTATGGCGACTGATCGGAGCAAAAGTCCGATCGTCGATACAATGGGTTAGTTCAAATCCCTGGGCAACCCATCTCCCTTTGAATCTGTCTGCTTCGCCTGCTGTATTTGTCTTGATGCGAAAAACCCACTTGCCCAAAAGAAGCTTCTTGTCGTACGCTAGTGCACGTGGAACCAGTTTCCACGTTTTCCGCTTCTCGAGAGCGGCTACCTTTGCATCCATTACTGCTAGCCACTGGGCTATATCAGGGTCACAAAGGGTCTGCTTGAATATTTTTTACTCAATCCTGGCCGTTGGTTGTTGAAGGGTGACAGTGAGCCCGAGGATTTGAAGAGCCGATTGGTCACCATGTGGATGTGGTTGGCTGCCAACTTCAATGGCGTCATCATCGTCAATTTCGGATGGCAGGTGGCGCACACCGTCATGTAATGCTGCGATTGCTTTTTGTCTTCGTAGATGGTCTTCGTGATTATAGGCAGCATGTGGCATAGCTGGTGGTCGCAATGGGTCCGAGAGTGGAATGAATAACGGGGTTTTGTGGTGGAGGCATATGATTCAGGAATGTAGGACTCGAACAGGGGTTCTTCACGTAACAAAGGACCAGGTTCAACTGTTGATGTGGAAGGCTATGGGGCAGTAAAAGGTTCAGGTGCTGTGCTAGCAAGCGGATAATATTCTTCCACTACATCAGTTTCGTCTTGAGGGGTGGCGAAACTTCTTTCGACACTGTAGCAATCGGGATCTCACTGCTGGCGCTCCTTGTTGCGTTCAAAGTCATCAAGTAAAGGTTTCTCATAGAGAATGTAGTCACGGGCATACATAAATTTGCAAGCTTCGTAATCCATGATTATCCAAGCGTAGGAATCCTTTGGTACACCGAGGTGTATTCCCCATCGAGCCCGTTCAGTGAATCTGCCCGCAATTGCGCTTGGAGGACGATAGTGGACCATGCAGCCCAAGACTCATAAATTCTTGTGTCGGCAGGCTGCTTTGTCCACATGACGTGTGGCGAACTGAAGTGAGGTAAGACAGTACATGAGAAGAACTTGTGCATTTTGACAGTTTGCGTTATCGCAGACAGCCAAAAATCAGTTGGCAGGTTGGAATATTGCAGAAGCACGCACATCTTCTCTTGCAGCACTCTGTTCGTCCACTCATTGACCCCGTTTTTCTGATGGGCGTAAGGTATTGTCTTGCACCTGACAATCCCAACTAGAGAGGGAACAAAAGGCGTACCAGTAAAGCTCATGGCGGCGATTCCTATGAGATGGAGCGGCTTTAATGACGGCTGAAGGAATGGGAGCGGGGGGAAGGGGGTGCTAGTTGGACGAAGGAGGCACATGAGGAGAGGGAAGAAATGGGTGCTAGATGGGCAGTGAAAGCACGCGAGCAGAGGGAAAAAATGGGTGCTAGACGGGTAAAGGGAGAACATGAGAAGAGGGAAGAAAGGGGTGGTAGGTGGACGAAGGAAGCACATGAGGAGAGGGAAGAAAGGGGTGCTAGACGGACAGAGGAAGCACGTGAGCAGGGGGAAGAAAGGGGTGTTAGATGGACGAAGACGCACATGAGGAGAGGGAAAAGAACGGTGGTACAATTAATGGTATGGACAATGTTGAGTCCGGCGAATCCGACAAGGTGGAGAGGCTGCGACGGTGACTGAAGGAGTGGGAGCGGGAATTTGCTGCAACGCACAGCCGCGCTCCATTGCGCGCTGACGTGGAGGTCGATCCCACCTTGGGCAAACTGCTCTTTATAACTGTTATCAACGTCTCATAGGTTTCTAGTTTTTCCTCTCCGAAGTAGCCTCCACTCTTCATGCATTGGCGTGGGGCCAGGTTCAGGCATAGGTGAGCTTAGGTGCACGTACCTGTGCGTAGGTGCATATTAAGGCATTTAGGTGCAAATTAAGCACTCTGTTTGTCCTGGTGGATTGATAGTTCGGTGAGTAGCTCATCACTTATGTCGAGCAAAGCTCGTGATTGATGCTTCCAGGAAAACTTGAATTTAAAATACCGAACTCACACTGAACATCGCCCCCTAAACATCGCGTATACACTAGAAAGTCTAGGGATGATGTCGCGGCTGATCCAATGAAGTTTAAAATGAGTCTGAGTCTGGGAAACCCCATTCCAAAGTGCCTGAATTTTCGAACTTCGAAATAGCCGAAGTGGAATCCACAAATAGCCGAAGTGCACTTCGTTGATTTTCAATAACGTCCACCAGCACGAATCAACTTCTCTAGCACACAAGTATATTCATCATATATATAATGTCTATCATATTTAATCCCTCATTCAAAGGAAGATGTAGTAGAATGCTTTTTTTTCTATCCAGACTATATTTGCTGAGAATATTGACGTTGAAAGGCGACTCGGATATCATTTGGGGCGAGGGTCGGTGTAATGAAGCGCTAAGAGCGTGTAACGAATAGTTGAGTAGCGAGGGAAACAATACAATGAGGGCACATCAAAACAGCAGGGAGCCTGGATATAGATATCCTAGAGCACACAGTCGAGGCTCGGTAGAGCTGAGGTTTGTAAATTGGCGTGAAGCGCCCAGATCTAGACATAAAACAGCAAGGGGGGCAAAATGCATGCGGATCGTCAGGAGACCACATTTGGGTACCGCGATTTGAATTTTGTGGCAGAGCTGCGCAGCAACCCCGTTATAGCAGTGTATGCCTTACTAACTAAAACCCGCGATAAGGAACTACCATCTTCTTACAGTCGGTAATACTAACATGGAGGAACATGTTGCTACCAGTATAACGAATTTAATGCTGCATCACTCAATCAGATACTTCCCGCCAAATCCATTCTGCCACGACCTCCAGTTTCAAATTTTGAATTTCCAAGCACGCCTACAAGCCTCCCAGAAATTCTTCCTTACCTGCCAGGCTGCCTCTGGAAACCACCTTGCTCTTCGTACCAACCCATAACCCTAACCATCCTCAATCTCGTGTTCACGCCTGTAATGTCCCTGAGCCGGCGAGCAAGCATGGAGCTTTAGGATATTCTCTAAGATATTCTCTTAACGTTACCCGGATAAGTGTTTAGCTGGTCCACGCCATTCCGTATAGCCTAAAAAGACCGAATTAGATGGCTCTGTTTGCGTGAGCTGATTCCGCGGCTGGAGCTAGTATACCTGATATTGGCCGCGATACAGGCACAACCTCTTATGAGAACGTCCCGTCGCTGTGTTCCTGCAAGTGTGAACATTGGAGAAATGAGTCCTAGACAGCAGGGGTTGGGAGCGGGAAAGGAACCCATTCAGAGAGGCGATCCGCTTGAGCGAGGCAACGGAGGGCAAGATAAAGCGAGAGGGAGCGCTGAACGGGCAGGCGGAAACATCAACGGGCAGCAGGAACGCGGCGAGGAACGCAGCGAGGAACGCGGCGAGGAAAGGTGGACTAGTAGTACGGTTATCGGCGAACCCGCCGGCGAGGTGGAGCGGATTCGACGGCGGCTGAAGGAAGCACGCGAGGAAAGGGGTGCTAGTGTCAGCGGTGCGGCTAATGGCGAGGCTGGCGAGGTAGAGCGGATTCGACGGCGGCTGAAGGAATGGGAGCGGGGATTCGCCGCGTCGCACGGCCGCGCTCCGTCGCGCGCTGACGTGGAGGGCGATCCGGGCGTAGGTGAGCCGCTCCCTAATACCCTCGTCGCCATTTCCTATGATCCTAACTTATTCTGCTACTAGGCGACACGTAGGTGAGCTGCTCCTTATTATCCGGACAAGTCGTGCTTGTGGCAGTTGAGCTGTATGGGAAGTACGCTCGGCTGAAGGAACGGGAGAGGAGAAAGCGGAAGAGGAGCCATGAAGGTGCCGCTGCTGGTGGCGCTACTGCTAAATGTGCTACTATCGAAGGTGCCGGTATCGAAGCTGCTGTTGCTGTTGAATGTCTGGAGAGGGCAAGGCAACAACGGGGTGGCAGAGAGGGCAAGGCAGAGCAGAGACGGAACGGTGTCAAGGATGTACAAGAGGATGATAGAATTGGTAACAGGAAGTCCAATAGGGAGGATGGAGAGCGTTCGGGCAAAGCCAGGCTGGCCTCTAACCCCCGGATAGGCCTGTCTGCCCCTCTGTCGGACCTAGGAGTGTGGCAGAGCAGCAGGCAGTTCAGTCTTGTTGTGTGCGGCGGAGGGGGAGGAGGGGTGGGGGGTGCAGGAAGGGGAGGGTTACAAGGAGCCGGGTTAGGGTTACAATCAACGGAGCGAGCGCAGGAGCCAGTACCAGCAGGTGCTGCAGGTTGTGCGGGTGAGAAGCAGCTGTCAGAGGGTGAGGCACAGAGGGTGCAGGGGCAGTGCGGACAGGAGGGGCTGGGCGGGGGGCGGAGGGGGCGGGCAGAGCAGCAGGTGGGGGGAATCGAGAGGGGAAGGTTGAACCGGGGCGAGGAGGTGGGGAGAGTGGATGGTAGTGGGGATGGTGGGGGTGGTGGGGATGGTGGGGATGGTGGGGATGGTGCGGCTGGTGGGGATGGTGGGGATGGTGGGGATGGTGTGTGGGCGAGAGGGGAAGGAGAGGCAGGGGCAGGTGACGAAGCAGGGATGGGTTACTTTGGACCAACTGCGGTCCCTGTTCGTCCTGTGGGCATGCTTGGCTGTGTTGCGCCCTCGAGCCTGCTTGTAACGAGGATAGGTAGAGGGGGAGGGAGGTGGGGAGCTGAATGCAGAGCTGCTGAGTTGGCATGTGGGGGTTGGCTGCAGGAGACGGCTGACATGGAACCTGTAGCAGCTGAGGCGGCGCTAAGGGAAGCTGATGTGGCACAGAGAGGGGCTGACGTGTTGCAGGGAAGTGCTGACGTGGATGTAACACGATTGGTGGATGCTGAAGCCGCAGAAGAAGCAGTGAATCCAACAGGGCTTTGCTCAAAGCCACCAGTAAGAGCTGCAGAACGGGCAGAAGGTGCCGAATGGGCAGACAGTGCAGAAGGTGCAGCATTAAGCGCAGGAGCAGGTGAATTGCGAGGCGAAGCTATGCCAGAAGCAGAAGAGTTGACTGAAGGACCACCCACAGCAGCAGCAGCGTCAGGTCTAGCAGCAGCGCCAGGTCTAGCAGCAGCGCCAGGTCTAGCAGCAGCGGTACCAACACCATCAGGAGCAATGGAAGCACCAACAGCAATCGCACAGCTGCCACCGTCAGCAGCAGAACCAGCAGCAGCAGACCCAGCAGCAGCAGCAGCAGCAGCACCACCACCACCACCACCAGCGGCACCACCACCATCACCTCCAGCAGCAGCAGCAGCACAACCAGCAGCAGCAGCACAACCAGCAGCAGCAGCAGCAGCAGCAGCAGCACCACCACCACCAGCAGCGGCATCACCACCATCACCTCCAGCAGCAGCAGCAGCAGCAGCAATGGAAGCAGCTGATGTGAACCGCATGACAGTGGTGCAGCTGAGGGCCGCCCTCCTGGCCAATGGGCTGCGAACGTCTGGCAGAAAGGCAGAGCTGGTGAGCCGACTAGCAGAGGCTGGTGGGTGTGTGACTGGGGAAAGAAGTGTGGGCGAGAAAAGTGTGGGGGAGGTGAGTGTGGGTGAGAGGAGTGTGGGTGGGAGAAAGTGTCGAAGAAACGAGGGTGGGAGAGGTATGGGGAGGGCAGGGGGGCAGCGGAGGAGGCAGGTGGTGAGGGTGAAGGGGAGGCGACGAGTCAGAGCTCCAGAGGGTGATACTGATGGTCATGATGATGATGATGGTGGTGATGATGGTGATGGTGATGGTGATGGGGTTGTTGATGGGGATGGTGGTGATGCTGGTGCTGGCGTTGATAGCAGTAAAAAGGACCCAATGAGGCGCCCTACTGAAGGAGATGCGAAAACAATGCAACGGGTTGGCGAGACGGCGGCACTCGCAGGCTCCCATGGGAGGGAATGCAGGGATGGGCCGGGAAAGACGGCTGGGAGGAGGGTCACACGTCTAGCTGCTCGGGTAGCAAGGGATGGTTTGAGGGGAAGGGAGCAAGGGGAGAAGGATGGGGCGAAGGAGGATGAGCGAGGAGCGAAGGAGGGGGGGGAGACGGGGAGTGGGAGTGAAGGGGAGGAGGGGAGTGAGGATGCGAGTGAGGAGAGTGAGGGGGAGAGCGGGAGTGACAGTGGTTCGGATTGGGCAGAGGAGAGAAGGGGGGTGAGCAGCAGTAGCGAGAGTGAGGAGGAGGGGGTGGGAGAGGAGGAGGAGAAGGGGGAGGAGGAGGAGGAGAGGAGCAGGGTCACAAACAAGACAGTTACAGTGAATACAGTCACACGTGAGGGCAGAGGTTCGGGTAAGGCTCGGTGTAACGCACGCAAAGCGAAGGGGGGAGTTGGTGGGAGAAGACAAGAGACAGGACAGAAACGAGAGGATCGAAAACCGAAGAATGAACTGAGTGGTGATGCTGCTGTTGTTGGGGGTGCTGCTGCTGCTGCTGCTACTCCTGCTGCTGCTGGTGCTACTCCTGCCGCTGCTGCTGCTGCTGCTGCCACAGGTGGAGCGGGCAGTACAGCAGCGGAGTATGGGTGGGGTAATCCCAGGGCTTTGCAAGCCCTGAGGCAGAAGGAAGCACAGAGGCGGAAACAGAGGAAGGTGGCTACTGCTGCCGGTGCAGGTGTAGCCAGTGCAGGTGCTACTGGTGGGGGTGCAACACGTGCAGGGTATGGTCTTACCAGCAGCAGGAGTGCCAGGGGCCGCCCCGGGCTGCAAGGGAGGGACAACTTTGTGCGCCTCAATATCAACGGCAGGGGATGCAAGAAGAGGTTCGGGAACGGTACCAAGACCAGCAGGTTCGGCAGCAGGTCCGGCGGTGGGAGTAGGTACGGTGGGAGGTTCGGTGGTGGGTATGGAGGGGGGAGGAGGAAGACGTTTTACAGGAAAGGGGGGAAGAGGGGGAAGGGAGGGGTTTTGGGGGAGGGAGGAGGGGGAGAGTGTGGTATGGGCTTAGGTGACTGGATGGATGATGGTGCGGTGATGGGGTTGGGGGGGGGAGAAGAGCAGAAAGGAGGAGTGGGGGATGTGGAAGGGGCAATTGGGGAGAATGGGGGGGGCAGGAAGGGGGGAGAGGTTGGAAAGGAGGTGGGGGGAAGCGAGGAGGAAGGGAAGGGGAGGCAAGAAGGGATAGAGGATGAGGGAGAGGAGGAAGAGGAAGTAGAGGAGGTAGAGGAGGTGGAAGAGGGAGACGGTGTGGGACAGGAGAAAGGCACGGAGGGCAAGGGGCAAGGGCGCAAGAAGAAGGGCGCAAGGGGGGAAGGGGAGGAGGAGGAGGGGGCGACTGAGAGGGCTCGAATGGTTGAGAGGGCCCGAATGGTTGAGAGGGCCCAGAGGGAACCTTCAGAGAGCAATCTGCTGTGGGTGTTGCGGCATGTGTTTGGATTTGATAGGTTCCGAGATGGACAGGTGGCGGCCATCCAACGGTTGCTGCGAGGCCAATCAACGCTCCTCGTGCTGCCAACTGGCGCTGGGAAGTCCCTCTGCTACCAGGTAGCCATTTCCCAAAAAATGCAGCTGTTACCAGGTAGGCGCTACTGTTACTAGGCGTTACTGTTACCAGGTAGGCGTTACGCTAGCAGTTGTCTTTATTATCAATCCGATGGACTCCTTAGGTGCGCTCTGCCTGGCGTCGTTTGGGTCGCCGCCGAGGGCTCTCATGCACGACCAACTCGCCCACCTGCCGCCCTGTATTTTGAGTCGACTCGAAATGCATTGTGCCTGCCTCCGCCCGTCTCCCTCCTGTTTTCCTGCCTGCTGCTTCCATCTCCCTCCTTACCCCTCGCACCTCCCTGCTTTCCTCCTCCCTGGATTGACTCTGGTCGTCAGCCCACTGGTGGCGCTCATGCAGGACCAGCTGGCCCACCTGCCGCCCTGCCTTGTGCTTTCCCCCCTTCACCCCCCCTTCTTCCTCACAGCTCCCAGCCTTCCTCCTCCCCGGATTGACCCTGGTCGTCAGCCCACTAGTGGCGCTCATGCAGGACCAGCTGGCCCACCTGCCGCCCTGCCTTGTGCTTTCCCCCCTTCACCCCCCCTTCTTCCTCACAGCTCCCAGCCTTCCTCCTCCCCGGATTGACCCTGGTCGTCAGCCCACTAGTGGCGCTCATGCAGGACCAGCTCGCCCACCTGCCGCCCTGCCTGCCTGGCGGCCTGCTCTCGTCCTTCCAGGTTTGTGCCTCTCGTCCTTCCAGGTGCGTGCCTCTCTCCTTCTCTCTAACCTACAGACACAGGCGGTATACTTTTTATGCACGGTTTTGCATGCGTTTTTAATGCATTTTCAAGCTGAACTTATTGGGCTTCGCACAGGCGGTAGTCGGAGTGTTTAGGGTTAAGAATACTTGGGTGGTGCACTGTACACAGAGATGTACACAGAGAGAAGAAGAGGCCAGAATCAACAGGATGGTCAACGTGTCTCCCAGCTCCTCCTCCTGTTCTTGGCTTTCTCACCCTCCTTGCAGTTCCCGGTGGAGAGCGGTGAGGTCATAGGGAGGCTACGAAGCGGGGACATCAGGGTGCTCTATGTGTCTCCCACTCCTCCCCTTGCTCCCCGGCGTCCCCTCTGCCCTCATCCCAGTCACCAGCGGAGAGCGGTGCAGTGATAGAGTGGCTACGAAGGGGGGACGTCAGGGTGCTCTTTGTGTCTCCCACTCCTCCCCTTGCTCCCCGGCGTCCCCTCTGCCCTCATCCCAGTCACCAGCGGAGAGCGGTGCAGTGATAGAGTGGCTACGAAGGGGGGACGTCAGGGTGCTCTTTGTGTCTCCCACTCCTCCCCTTGCTCCCCGGCGTCCCCTCTGCCCTCATCCCAGTCACCAGCGGAGAGCGGTGCAGTGATAGAGTGGCTACGAAGGGGGGACGTCAGGGTGCTCTTTGTGTCTCCCACTCCTCCCCTTGCTCCCCGGCGTCCCCTCTGCCCTCATCCCAGTCACCAGCGGAGAGCGGTGCAGTGATAGAGTGGCTACGAAGGGGGGACGTCAGGGTGCTCTTTGTGTCTCCCACTCCTCCCCTTGCTCCCCGGCGTCCCCTCTGCCCTCATCCCAGTCACCAGCGGAGAGCGGTGCAGTGATAGAGTGGCTACGAAGGGGGGACGTCAGGGTGCTCTTTGTGTCTCCCACTCCTCCCCTTGCTCCCCGGCGTCCCCTCTGCCCTCATCCCAGTCACCAGCGGAGAGCGGTGCAGTGATAGAGAGGCTACGAAGGGGGGACATCAGGGTGCTCTTTGTGTCTCCCGAGCGCCTGGCAGCGCCGTCCTTCCTCCGCCTGCTCTCGTGTCTGCCCCAGGGGGTGTCTCTGGTGGTGTTCGACGAGGCGCACTGCATTTCCGAGTGGTGAGTGGTGCCTGTAGCTAGCTTCTGGGTGGATGAGTGGGTGTGTAGGTGAGTGGGTATGTGTGGTGTGGGTGGGTGTGTTTGCTCTCGTGCCTGCCCCAGGGCGTGTCCCTGGTGGTGTTTGATGAGGTCCACTGCATATCCGAGTGGTGAGTGGTGAGTGGGGAGTGGGGAGTGGTGGGTGCACGGATGGATGGAGGGGCGGCGGATAGGAAGGGGGGTTAGGTAGGGAGGCGACCGTCCTTCCTCCACCTCCACTCCTGCCTGCCCCAGGGCGTGCCTTTGGTCCTGTTTGATGAGGCCACTGCATATCCGAGTGGTGAGTGAGTGGTGCCTGTAGCTAGGTTTGCGAGTGGGTGGGTGTGTGGGTGGGCAGGTGTTTTCCTCTCCTGCCTGCCCCAGGGCGTGTCCCTGGTGGTGTTTGATGAAGCTCACTGTGTTTCCGAGTGGTGAGTGCACGGATTGATGGAGGAGGGGAGGTGGATAGGCAGGTAGAAAGGAAGTGGGGAGGCGACCGTCCTTCCTCCACCTCCTCTCCTGTCTGCCCCAGGGCGTGTCCCTGCTGGTGTTTGATGAAGCCCACTGCATATCCGAGTGGTGAGAGAGGGGGGAGTGTGGGTATGTTTGTAGGTGTGTAGCCCGTAGGTGGCTGAATAGCTGTTGAGTAGGGAATAGGAAGTACGGGCGTGGGTAGGTGGTCCTTCCTCCTCCTGTTCCGAACAAGGCAGAGTGCCCCTGATCTCTTTTGACCAGCTTATTTCAAAACGTTTCCAAAAAACAACTCTGTCTTAAACGAGAGCATCGGTCTCTTTCTACTTCAGACCCCCCAGATGCTCTTGGAACCTCTTGGGACCTCTTGGAACCTCTTGGAACCTCTTGGAACCTCTTGGAACCTCTTGAAACTGTTTCCCCTGCAGGTCGCACAGCTTTCGCTCAGCCTACCTCCGTCAATCGTCCCTCCAAAACCCCACACTTTCCAAAGCAGTGAGCCACCCCCAAGCATTCCTGACTGCCCCTCTCTAACCCTCCTCCTCCTCCCCCTGCAGGTCGCACAACTTCCGCTCGGCCTACCTGCGCCTCTCCTCCATCCTCCTCTCCAGCGGCCTGTTGGAGACGCACTCCCCAGCCGATGCTCAAGAGGAGGCATCAAACAGCAGGACTGCTGATACTGCTGATACTTCTGACACGACTGATCACGCCAGTGCCAGCGCCAGCAGCAGCACAAGCACCATCACCCACAGGCCGTGCATCCTCGCCATCACCGCCACCGCCACCCGCCTCGCCACGTCATCGCTGACCTCAGCCCTGGGAATCCCGCCGGGCGGCGTGATCCGGCGTGGAGTGGTGCGGCCGAACCTGCACCTATCGGTCTCACTAACCGGAACCAAAGGGCCTGGGATCGGGCTTGGGCATGGACCTGGGCATGGGCATGCAGTGGGAGAGAGCAAGTGGGGGGCAGATGTCACTCTATCGAAGGGACCAAGGGGCGGGCCAGCAGCAGGGCAGAGCCGGCAGCGAGAGCTTGTGGATCTGCTGAGCTCAGCACCCTTTGCTTCTGCTCGCAGCATCATCGTCTACTGCTCCTTCCAGGTTAACAATACCTTTCCAAACAGCTGCTTGCAGTAAACAACTCTCAACTCTGTGGTTCGTTGCAGGTTTGTTTGTACGCATGGTTCCTCCACACACCTCACTCTCTCTCGTTTCTCTCTCTGCTGCACCGCCCTCAACATCCCCCTTGCACGCCAATGCATATCCCCTAAGACCCATGAGGGTCTGCGCCTTAGTATCTCGGCCTCGTACCTTTATCAGGCTTGCGAGTGTCCCTCACGTTCCTTCGTCAAACTATTTCTTGCCAGCGACATCTGTCGGCAGACATGCACTTGTCTCTCTCCCTCTCTAGATGACCCTCTCACAGTGACATGGTGTTTCCATCTCCTTGGTATATCCGTCTCTCTGTTCCACGGGCTGCCAATGAGGCTGGTTTTTTAGCCGCCTAAAATAGAGTGCTTCCATCTCCTTTGTGTTCCGTCAATCTGTTCCGTGGGCTGCCAGTGGGAGGCTGATGACGTGGCACGCGTTCTTCGCGACAACCGGATTGCGGCTCGGGTGAGTCAGCTCCTAACAACCACTCTCCTTACAGCCATTCTCCTAACAACCACTCTCCTTACAGCCACTCTCGTAACAACCACTCTCCTTACAGCCACTCTCGTAACAACCACTCTCCTTACAGCCACTCTCCTAACAACCACTCTCCTTACTACCACTCTCCTAACAACCACTCTCTTAACAACCACTCTCCTTACAACCACTCTCCTTACAATCACTCTCCTTACAGCCACTCTCCTAACAACCACTCTCCTTACAACCACTCTCCTAACAACCACACTTCTTACAACCACTCTCCTAGCAACCACTCTCCTAATAACCACTCTCCTTATAACCACTCTCCTTACAGCCACTCTCCTTACAACCATCCTCCTTACAACCACTCTCCTTACAACCACTCTCCTTACAGCCACTCTCCTTACAACCACTCTCCTTACAACCACTCTCCTTACAGCCACACTGCAGCAATCACACTCCTGGAATCACACTCAACCAGCACATGCCCACATCAGTCAGACATGCCTATTTTGCCCTGCTCTGACCCCTGCAGCTGCCAGCACAGTCTACATTCCGGTGCAACAACCAACATTCAATCTGCCTCATTCACATGCGCTCTCTTGCCCACTCTGCCTCTCTGACACTGCACCTTGTACACAATCTTAACAATCTTTGTCACAATCCTTAGTAACAAGCTTTCCTTCACTGACCTGGATCTTTCCTTCACTGTAACAATCTTTGTCACAATCCTTCCTGCTCATCCCGTTTGAATGTCTCTTGCCGTGTGTGTTTCCATTGTCAGAGCTACCACGGAGGCCTAGACGCGGGTGAGAGGACTCGAATTCTTCAGCGCTTCACAGCCAACAAGCTGAGAGTGGTATGCTGCGGTGTTCTTTCGGAGTGCCAGCCATTTGAGGCTTAGTAGCATGAGAATAGTAGTACCCGGCTTACATTCACCACGCTTCACAGCCAAAAAGCTGAGAGTGGTATGCTGCGGCCTACCTGCAGTGTCTTTTTGGGGTGCCATTTGAGGCTTAGTAGCATGAGAGTACCTGGCTTACATTCACCGCGCTTCACAGCCAATAGGCTCCGAAGCTCATAGTGGTACGCCTGATGCTGCAATTCCCAGAAAAGGGTGCCTGACTGTACCTTTGAAATAGCAAGTATTGTGAAAGGTATCATAAGTCAAGGACGAATCTCAACCTGGGTGTACTGATCGGAAAATGCAGGCTCTTGAAAATGGACCATTTCCAACCTGGTGGTTCCTGTGCAGGTAGTGGCGACTCTGGCATTTGGCATGGGCTTGGACAAGGCTGACGTTGGTGCGGTGAGTTGGCTGCTGGGGCTATTGGAGAGTGGGTGGGAGGATAGTGTGAAGAATGCTGAGGTTATGTAAATACCTTGCTTTCAACGTCATTGCCGACGGGTTTGTCCCTTCTGTGCTTCGTGGCAATCCCACTCAGATTCCATTTGGTGTGTCATCTTGTGTGCCAATTCGAGTGTCAATTCGTGTCCATTTCTCATCCCACCTTCCATTCAGCCCGATTATTCCTTCCCCGTTGCCCTTCCAATCGGCTTCCCTTCCCTCTCATCCCAATCGCCCCAATCAGGTTGTGCACTACTCCCTTCCTCGCAGTCCAGAGCAATATGTGCAGGTGCGATGCAATTAAGCCTGCAAAAACGAATACGGTATCGAATACGGCAGGAAAAAAAAAGTATTTGTCGAATACTTGTGTGTTTTCGTATTTGATCGAATAGCACTTCCTACTCGAATACAAATATGGTTCGAATATTCGGTTTTGCAACGAATACGGAATCGAATACGAATAGGTGGACAGAACAGGGTTTCGGGTGTCTTCTAGGGCTTCCCACCAAAGACCGAGATAGAAATAGCCCCTCTAACCTTGATAGTCTATTACCCCCCTCCCCAATCACTTCCATTCCTGGCATATTGTCGAAGTAGCTGTGATTTTGGCAGGTTATTTATGGAACAACATGTCACGCTCAAGAATCCTGTTTTAGTATTTGTCCACGATTGATTGGTTTTATGGAGGCCGCAATCAGCCGATCGTGCGACCATCAGATTTCACCGATTTTGCTTATACTGCGCTGCTGATTTTGAGAGGAAAGGGGAGTCGGGGAGATGAATGGTAGGCTCACACGAATACGAATATTTTCCCGAATATCGAATATTTGAGTGTCGAATATTCGGAACTTGCGAATATTTGAGAGTCGAATACTGCCGAATAGCTTCGGGATGTCAGATTCGTTTTGTATTTGATATTTGTCGAATACCGAATACGAATCCGAAACCAGTGCTATTTGTTTGCAGGCTTAGATGCAATGCGGTGTGATGCGGTGTGGTGCGGTGCGATGTGGTGTGATGCGGTATTGAAAGGTTCGTCACAGCACATGAGTACACTACACAACACGAAAGTTAGAAAACGAGGGAATAAGACGAGAGAGGAATTCAGCCAAACTCCTCCCCACCCAACTCACCCCTCTCCACCCCTCTCCACCCCTCTCCACCCCTCTCCACCCCTTCTTTCAGGAGATAGGTCGTGCGGGGCGCAACGGCCAGCCAGCCTTCTGCCATCTCTTTGTGGACCGGCCCTGCTACCTTCGCCTGCGCAGCCTTGCACACTCGTGAGCTGCGCACTCGTTACTAGCACATTTGTTACTAGCACACTCGTTACTATCACTCCGTAATTTTGCTCGTTCGAAAGACTTTCTTCACGAGCGTTTTGAGCGCTTGTTGGCCGTTTGTAGTGCTTCCTCTAGCACCCCTTCCTCCAGCACCCCTTCCCTCTTCTTTCTGTACACAGGGCACAACACACACACTGTCTGTTCACCACTTCACTACATACGGCGCACATGCTTCTTGTCTGTACACAGGGCACTACACCACTTCACTACAGCAGGCACATGTTTCTTGTCCTTGCACACTCTTCCTTGATTGGTTCACGCCTGCACACCACACAAGTGATGAGTCCGACTGATTGGTTCACGCCTGCAGCACACCACACAAGTGATGAGTCCGACTGATTGGTTCACGCCTGCACACCACACAAGTGATGAGTCTGACTGATTGGTTCACGCCTGCAGCACACCACACAAGTGATGAGTCTGACTGATTGGTTCACGCCTGCAGCACACCACACAAGTGATGAGTGACTGATTGGTTCACGCCTGCAGCACACCACACAAGTGATGAGTCTGACTGATTGGTTCACGCCTGCAGCACACCACACAAGTGATGAGTTGACTGATTGGTTCACGCCTGCAGCACACCACACAAGTGATGAGTGACTGATTGGTTCACGCCTGCAGCACACCACACAAGTGATGAGTCTGACTGATTGGTTCACGCCTGCAGCACACCACACAAGTGATGAGTCTGACTGATTGGTTCACGCCTGCAGCACACCACACAAGTGATGAGTCTGACTGATTGGTTCACGCCTGCAGCACACCACACAAGTGATGAGTCTGACTGATTGGTTCACGCCTGCAGCACACCACACAAGTGATGAGTGACTGATTGGTTCACGCCTGCAGCACACCACACAAGTGATGAGTGACTGATTGGTTCACACCTGCAGCACACCACACAAGTGATGAGTCTGACTGATTGGTTCACACCTGCAGCACACCACACAAGTGATGAGTCTGACTGATTGGTTCACGCCTGCAGCACACCACACAAGTGATGAGTCTGACTGATTGGTTCACGCCTGCAGCACACCACAAGTGATGAGTCTGACTGATTGGTTCACGCCTGCAGCACACCACACAAGTGATGAGTCTGACTGATTGGTTCACACCTGCAGCACACCACACAAGTTATGAGTCTGACTGATTGGTTCACGCCTGCAGCACACCACACAAGTGATGAGTCTGACTGATTGGTTCACGCCTGCAGCACACCACACAAGTGATGAGTCGACTGATTGGTTCACGCCTGCAGCACACCACACAAGTGATGAGTCTGACTGATTGGTTCACGCCTGCAGCACACCACACAAGTGATGAGTCTGACTGATTGGTTCACGCCTGCAGCACACCACACAAGTGATGAGTCTGACTGATTGGTTCACGCCTGCAGCACACCACACAAGTGATGAGTCTGACTGATTGGTTCACGCCTGCAGCACACCACACAAGTGATGAGCGACTGATTGGTTCACACCTGCAGCACACCACACAAGTGATGAGTCTGACTGATTGGTTCACGCCTGCAGCACACCACACAAGTGATGAGTCTGACTGATTGGTTCACGCCTGCAGCACACCACACAAGTGATGAGCGACTGATTGGTTCACACCTGCAGCACACCACACAAGTGATGAGTCTGACTGATTGGTTCACGCCTGCAGCACACCACACAAGTGATGAGTCTGACTGATTGGTTCACGCCTGCAGCACACCACACAAGTGATGAGTCTGACTGATTGGTTCACGCCTGCAGCACACCACACAAGTGATGAGTCTGACTGATTGGTTCACGCCTGCAGCACACCACACAAGTGATGAGTCTGACTGATTGGTTCACGCCTGCAGCACACCACACAAGTGATGAGTCTGACTGATTGGTTCACGCCTGCAGCACACCACACAAGTGATGAGTCTGACTGATTGGTTCACACCTGCAGCACACCACACAAGTTATGAGTCTGACTGATTGGTTCACGCCTGCAGCACACCACACAAGTGATGAGTCTGACTGATTGGTTCACACCTGCAGCACACCACACAAGTTATGAGTCTGACTGATTGGTTCACGCCTGCAGCACACCACACAAGTGATGAGTCTGACTGATTGGTTCACGCCTGCAGCACACCACACAAGTGATGAGTGACTGATTGGTTCACGCCTGCAGCACACCACACAAGTTATGAGTCTGACTGATTGGTTCACGCCTGCAGCACACCACACAAGTGATGAGTCTGACTGATTGGTTCACGCCTGCAGCACACCACACAAGTGATGAGTCTGACTGATTGGTTCACGCCTGCAGCACACCACACAAGTGATGAGTCTGACTGATTGGTTCACGCCTGCAGCACACCACACAAGTGATGAGTCTGACTGATTGGTTCACGCCTGCAGCACACCACACAAGTGATGAGTGACTGATTGGTTCACGCCTGCAGCACACCACACAAGTTATGAGTCTGACTGATTGGTTCACGCCTGCAGCACACCACACAAGTGATGAGTCTGACTGATTGGTTCACACCTGCAGCACACCACACAAGTTATGAGTCTGACTGATTGGTTCACGCCTGCAGCACACCACACAAGTGATGAGTCTGACTGATTGGTTCACACCTGCAGCACACCACACAAGTGATGAGTCTGACTGATTGGTTCACGCCTGCAGCACACCACACAAGTGATGAGTCTGACTGATTGGTTCACACCTGCAGCACACCACACAAGTTATGAGTCTGACTGATTGGTTCACGCCTGCAGCACACCACACAAGTGATGAGTCTGACTGATTGGTTCACGCCTGCAGCACACCACACAAGTGATGAGTGACTGATTGGTTCACGCCTGCAGCACACCACACAAGTTATGAGTCTGACTGATTGGTTCACGCCTGCAGCACACCACACAAGTGATGAGTCTGACTGATTGGTTCACGCCTGCAGCACACCACACAAGTGATGAGTCTGACTGATTGGTTCACGCCTGCAGCACACCACACAAGTGATGAGTGACTGATTGGTTCACACCTGCAGCACACCACACAAGTGATGAGTCTGACTGATTGGTTCACGCCTGCAGCACACCACACAAGTGATGAGTGACTGATTGGTTCACACCTGCAGCACACCACACAAGTGATGAGTCTGACTGATTGGTTCACGCCTGCAGCACACCACACAAGTGATGAGTCTGACTGATTGGTTCACGCCTGCAGCACACCACAGAAGTGATGAGTGACTGATTGGTTCACACCTGCAGCACACCACACAAGTGATGAGTCTGACTGATTGGTTCACACCTGCAGCACACCACACAAGTGATGAGTCTGACTGATTGGTTCACGCCTGCAGCACACCACACAAGTGATGAGTGACTGATTGGTTCACACCTGCAGCACACCACACAAGTGATGAGTCTGACTGATTGGTTCACGCCTGCAGCACACCACACAAGTGATGAGTCTGACTGATTGGTTCACGCCTGCAGCACACCACAGAAGTGATGAGTGACTGATTGGTTCACACCTGCAGCACACCACACAAGTGATGAGTCTGACTGATTGGTTCACGCCTGCAGCACACCACACAAGTGATGAGTCTGACTGATTGGTTCACGCCTGCAGCACACCACACAAGTGATGAGTCTGACTGATTGGTTCACGCCTGCAGCACACCACACAAGTGATGAGTCTGACTGATTGGTTCACGCCTGCAGCACACCACACAAGTGATGAGTCTGACTGATTGGTTCACGCCTGCAGCACACCACACAAGTGATGAGTCTGACTGATTGGTTCACACCTGCAGCACACCACACAAGTTATGAGTCTGACTGATTGGTTCACGCCTGCAGCACACCACACAAGTGATGAGTCTGACTGATTGGTTCACGCCTGCAGCACACCACACAAGTGATGAGTCTGACTGATTGGTTCACGCCTGCAGCACACCACACAAGTGATGAGTCTGACTGATTGGTTCACGCCTGCAGCACACCACACAAGTTATGAGTCTGACTGATTGGTTCACGCCTGCAGCACACCACACAAGTGATGAGTCTGACTGATTGGTTCACGCCTGCAGCACACCACACAAGTGATGAGTCTGACTGATTGGTTCACACCTGCAGCACACCACACAAGTGATGAGTCTGACTGATTGGTTCACACATGCAGCACACCACACAAGTTATGAGTCTGACTGATTGGTTCACGCCTGCAGCACACCACACAAGTGATGAGTCTGACTGATTGGTTCACGCCTGCAGCACACCACACAAGTGATGAGTCTGACTGATTGGTTCACGCCTGCAGCACACCACACAAGTGATGAGTCTGACTGATTGGTTCACGCCTGCAGCACACCACACAAGTGATGAGTGACTGATTGGTTCACGCCTGCAGCACACCACACAAGTGATGAGTCTGACTGATTGGTTCACACCTGCAGCACACCACACAAGTTATGAGTCTGACTGATTGGTTCACGCCTGCAGCACACCACACAAGTGATGAGTCTGACTGATTGGTTCACGCCTGCAGCACACCACACAAGTGATGAGTCTGACTGATTGGTTCACGCCTGCAGCACACCACACAAGTGATGAGTCTGACTGATTGGTTCACACCTGCAGCACACCACACAAGTTATGAGTCTGACTGATTGGTTCACGCCTGCAGCACACCACACAAGTGATGAGTCTGACTGATTGGTTCACGCCTGCAGCACACCACACAAGTGATGAGTCTGACTGATTGGTTCACGCCTGCAGCACACCACACAAGTGATGAGTCTGACTGATTGGTTCACGCCTGCAGCACACCACACAAGTGATGAGTCTGACTGATTGGTTCACGCCTGCAGCACACCACACAAGTGATGAGTCTGACTGATTGGTTCACGCCTGCAGCACACCACACAAGTGATGAGT